ATGATGCTGACGCAACGCCAAAGAAACTAACTTGTCTTAGATTTGCTTGTGTTAATGCTCGGTCTCTAAGAAACAAAACAGCAGATGTTGTTGACCATATTGTGAATTCTAATATTGACATTTGTGTTTTTACTGAAACCTGGCTGAAAGATGTTGACTCTGTTACGATTGCCGCTCTTTCTCCTGATGGTTACTGTTTTCAAAATTCGCCCAGAGAAAATGATAGATCAGGCGGGGGAGTTGGAGTTATGTACAAGAGTATAATGAGCACTAAGCTAATGGACGCTAATCAGTTCAGATCGTTTGAATTCTCTGAGTGGAATGTAACGATTCAAAATCAAGTTATTAAACTTGTTGGTGTGTATCGTCCGCCATCCTCTACTAACTATCCTCAACCCGTGAGTTTGTTTTTTGAGGAATTTTCTACTTACCTTCAAAGTATTGTAATATCAACTGAGAGGTTACTTATTTTAGGCGATTTTAATTTCCACGTTGAATCTACTGACGATACTAATGCCAAAAGATTCTGTGAGCTTTTGGAATATCTAGATCAATTAATGATGTGATTATAACTGAATTAGAATCTACGTTGGCTTTATCTGATCATTCGTTCATCGAGTGTAATTTGAATATGCCTAAGCCAAATTTTGTTGTTAAGGAACTTCGATTCCGTCAGTTGAAAAGAATAGACATTCCCGTGTCCAAAAATGATATTTCCGGGTCTGAACTATGTGTCAATTCCTTTTCGGATATTGAGGAGTTTACACGTTGTTATGATACGATTTTGTTAAATCTTCTTGATAAACACGCTCCTATTAAGACGAAAAAGATGGTTATGAGACCTGTTGTATCTTGGTTCACTGATGATCTTAAAAAGCTTAAAGCTGAACGACGAAAATGCGAAAGAAAAATGCTTCAATCTGGTTGTTCCCATGATAAAGAGCTTTATTATAAGACTAGAGATAAATACAGTGCCCTTCTTCGTAAAACAAAGACTAGCTATTATTCTGATTGAATTTAAGAAATTGTTTCGTGTTATCAATTCATTGTCCAAACAGAAGTCATGTAATTAAGCGCTCATTTATGTAATTAAGCGCTTTAGAATATTCTATAGTTTTAGACGTGACATTGAAAAAAAATATCTTAATATTTTAAAGAATAAGAGTAAGAAATATTCGTAATGAATTGGAATCATCCATAATTTATACACTTGAATGTGCCGTATGATGACTCAGCGCTCGAAGTTTCGTATCGAAAGAGGAACAGCCGAACAGGTACGATGGCTAACAAGAATGAGTGTACTTATCAACTTATATAACGCGAGGAAAAGATCAAAATGGCAGGCATGGCTGTGATATCTAGTATATAAAATTGTATAGACAATTTGCCCACAAATACGGTGCTAGGTCAAAACGGCCCAAAGTCAAAACGGCCCAAAGTCAAAAGGGGCCCAAAGTCAAAACGGCCCAAAGTCAAAACGGACCCGCTTCAATAATCATATGACTTAGACCAGGGGTTAAAGGGCAATGACAATGGGGTGGGGTCTGCTGAGCAGGCTAGTGCGAGTGTGCGTCTCACTAAATTTGCGTGTTTAATAATGTTTATCAAAGAAGGCAAAAATATATACAAGACAACCTCACATGTGGAATCTGTTCACTTACGCACTGCCTTGTGATGCAATACAAGTACAAATACAAATGACAAAG